ACTATTGGCCAGTCATACACACTGCAGACAAACTTGGAGAGAGAGAGAAAGAGAGAGATAGAGAGATCACCTTAAGTCTCAGAGTAATGTTTGAGGCAAGATTTATTGATTTCATCACCTGAAAATGTCAGGCCCCATTCTACAAAAGAACTTATGAATATTAAAGATCACATTTCAAGGAAGCTTTCAAATAAATTTCATCCTATCTGACCCCAAAAGTTCTTAAATAATGATAAGATTTTTAAATAAGCCTACTCAATTTTCACTACTTCTTTATTATCTCCCCTTGGAAGAGGAGTATAGCCTTAGTTCATTCCTTTATCCCAAGGATACTCTGCGTTAAGTTTGGTGAGATTGACTTAATGGTTTCACAAAAAATGAAAATGTCAAAAGTTTATTTTTAAAAAAAAATGCTGTATTGAGGAAAACTGAAAATCGACAAATTTTGATCATAATAGCTCACTTGAGCCTTCAATACGTAATATCGCAAGTACCTCTTGGTACCCCGCAGTATATAACTTACTACCGCTCTTTTGCGAGGGAGTCAAGAAAGCTGTAGATTTCTGGGGCACATGACTTTGTTTACAGTAGGTAGTGACAATTGAATGATTCGAACAATTTTATGCCGAAAGTAAAATTTATTGCCAAGGATTGAACTACAAATAGTAGACTGTCAAAAAAGGAAAGTTTAGAATATTTAATCAGCCTTCAGTTAAAATGTGACGATTTTCAATGAAAATTCAATGAGAAGAGTCCACTTAGTTAAAAATATCGTTAAAAATGTAACATTTTTAGGATGAGCTCCAGTCAAAAATTGATTAGGCTGGTTCAGCGATTGTATAGCAAGGTGTTCCACCAGGATTGTTTACTTCTCTGTCCTTATAAATTCTATAATGATCCACCTTGCATTGTATTAAATAGCACATTTATCCTCATCCAACAGACGTTTCCTACCTCCATCACGAAAGAGTTCCACAAAGTTAAGTAATCGCAATATCAAGTATTCAGATGAGATAAAAAGTGTTTATTCTCAAGAGTGAGCTGATCAGAAATATTTTTGAATACACTGTCAAGAAATATTTCTAATTTTATGGCAAGCTACTCAGACAACTCAAAGACAGATACTTTTCTTGTGGTGGGTCCTTCTTTTCTTGAGAGGAATTTTTTTTTGTGGTGATCATCTTCTACTTTTGTGATGGATCCTTCTTTTCTTGATATGGATGCTTTTTTTCTTGTGGTGGATCTTCTATTCTTTTGGTGGATCCTTCTTCTCTTAAGACAGATTATTCTTTTCTTGTAACAGATCATTTTCTTCTAGTGGCCGATCCATTTTTTTTTGTGGCGGATACTTCTTTTCTTCTGCAGATCTTCTTTTCTTGGTATGGAGATTTTTTTTTGTGTCTGATCCTTTTCTTCTTGTGGTGAATCCTTCTTTTCTTGAGGCTGATCCTACTTTTCTTTTGGTGAATCTTCTATTCATGTGGTGGGTCCTACTTTTCCAGTGGAGGATATGCTGATCTTGACACTATGGAATTAGTTGTCAAGGAAGCCTACCACATTTGTCTCAGTTGGAACCAATTATTCTATGGCTTTACGGAGATATTATTTTCATCCAATATGTTACAAATCAATGAATACTCAGAATAGTGTCAATTCTAAAACAAATATCATTGAAACAACATCTGAGGTGTTAAATTATAAAACTGTAAAAGTCTCCATCGCAGTCATCAAATGAAAACCTTGCTCAGGTGAGCTTCACATGAACCAATTCCTCCTCGAGTCAATCAGGTAAGCTTAACATTCCAATTCTGCCTCAATCAACCTCATGTGAGCTATAAATGTACCAAATCCACCTAGTACTCTTAGGTGAGCTACCGATTTTATCTCGAGCCATCACTTAATTAAAAGTACACTACATCTTCTGCAAAAATGTGTGCATTTCAGAAACTAGGTCAAGTAAGGTGAAATTTCTATCCCATAATGCAGTATCCATTACATTTCCAGTCAAGCGTGTATATTAATTGCTCTTTAAATAACTTTTATTTCTTTCTAAATTAACATATAAAGTTGAAAGCTTTTATTGTAAACCAGACATTAAAATTACAACTGCTTTCAGTAAGGGGTTATTTATAAATTTAATGACAGCCCCATGTAGTTCAAAAACCTGCACACTTAATATGAAATACATTAAAACAGTTAAATCCAAAAATGATTTCAGATTTCTTTTTTTCCCCTTTTAATGTAACAAAAGCTTCCATGGACTATTTGTCTGAATTTAGCATATTTCTCAAAAAAATCTATAAATGAATATTTAACAAAATAGATCTCTTACAAAATTTACTGTAAGATTTTTATGAAAATGTTCAACTTGAATGCTGAAAGGATACTGTGTACAGGGGAATTTTCGCCCCCGTTTTATTTTCGCCCCTTTCGCCCTCTCCTTGATTGGGCGGATTTAAAACAGGGCGAATTAATTACACCTCATAATTTCTTAAACAGAGCTTTGACTGGGCGAATTTAAAATGGAGCAAAATTGTTCACAAGTTCAAAAGGGCAAAAATAATACGGGGCGAAAATAACCCTGTATACAGTACATGAATACAGTGTATAAATTAACCATACAACATACTGATTTCATACAATTGTGTGCATGTATACTGTATGTTTACTTGCTACAGTTGGCTTCATATTTTAGTGGCTTTCCCATGAACAATGATGTGCTTATTCAAGAATATTGCTAAGAATTGATTAATAATTTCTGAATGTGCTTTTTTTATGATTACAATGTATATATAAAAAGAGATGTAGGGGGTATACTTGATTTAGTGGGAGATTCTTCTTCAAAAGGTGCTAAATAGAATACACAGCCAAATGTAATACGTTTACAGTATGCTAAAACAATTTTATTGTAGTACATTGTATATACATAAGGAAGGGGATCCATCTTTTTCAAATGGAAAATATCAAATGAAAAATATTTTATACTGTGTTTACATCACGGAGGATTGTGGACAGGGCCTCCCTCACCTCCCCAGTATATGTCCTGGATCTAAAAGATATCATGGCCTTCTTTTATAAATTAATCTTCCAGCATATTTTTGTAAGAATCCAAAGTCCCGGGTGACGCCAAAGTCTGATGGTCTCGCAAAACCCCTATGGTCTGATGGCAGTACGGACGCCAAGGCCCGATGGTCTCACAAAACCCCTATGGTCTGATGGCAGTACGGACGCCAAGGCCCGATGGCCTCACCAAAGCCCATTGGCTTGTTTCCTGTGAGACAAGCTTCACTATAGTGTGATGGTCTGATATGCCAAAATCTCAGGGTGCAGAGAAACATTCAATGTTTTCTGACGTCAAAATATTCTGCTGCTATTGTCTTGCATTCAAAAGCCATCAATTTGGTATTCGTTCTGGCATATTATTTCACTGTTTTTACTCCTTGCTTGTACGAATGATATATTAGGGTTATTCCTCGAACATCACTTGACTGAAAACGGTTAGTCTTCGCACATTATTGAACTGATTTTAGGAGAGCACTGACCCAAAAGATTTAAGAGTCCTCTCAACTATTCGACTAATTAGTTTATAGTCTCACATTCATCCAAGATAGCTAGGTTTTGTAGTTGCTACATATTTTTTAGGCTGAGCAGGGTTAGTTTCTCACCCATCCAAGAGATTAAGGATATCCTTGCATTTTAAAATATTAATTTGCATTCATTTAAAATCATTGGTTCTTTGCGTGACATTGCATTGCAATTTGGGGCAGTAGTACTATAACGTCATAAACATTAACTATTTTTCCACGCAATTGTCATGTCAAACCATCAGGGTTTGGTACAGACCATCCAACTTTGGAGTCCCATCACACTATGAAGCCTGACATATTAACCAAGTATTCCATTGTGCGACTAAGATCATCTGAGCTTTTATGGTCCTAGAACCTGGTATTGGGCTGCTTCCCAAATCCCAAGGGCAATAGAAGGGGTTCAGAAAGACACGGAGTTCAACCTGCAACTTCCAATTCCCCTTGAATTGCTCTATTTTTAACTGAGCCACTGAGTCAATGTATCGAATCCAGTATACAATTATGGATAATTTCCATCCTAACTCAAAAGCAACTGCATGTGTAATAACTCCAATGACTTGTAACATTCTGTCAAATTCAAATGCTTTTCTTTTTTTTGTTGTCGCTTTGACAATATCTCACTCATATTAAGACCCACAGATCCACATGGGAATCAAAATTAAATTGTTATGGATGTAACTTGAAACATAAAAAAATTTTGTTTTCAAACATATGATAAGCAGATGGATTTGTATATATAAAATATTTACCTGCATAGTAAGTGGAGAAATATTAGAATTATATATGATCAAGTACTGTTAAATTCAATATTGTTCTTGGTGAATAAAAATACATGGAAATACTTTTGACACCCAAAAAGCAAACTAAGGAAACAACTGGGCAGACCACTTTGAGAGGGGCGGGTGGGGATAAGAATCTAAAGACTAAAGATAAATTTTATCTGGCCAGATGGTCACCTTGTGGAATCATTTTTTTCCAGTCGCCATTATATTAAAAAAAACACGGGTATTTACTTATTGCTCGTAAAGGTCATTATAATCGTTCGGGATATTCTATCCCAGTTGATATCCTATCCCAGTTTGGGAGATTGGTCCCAACCTGTCTGGCATGTTAAATGTAAACAACAACAAATGACAGGGCCTATGTTTACCCAAACCAGCCTGTCTAAAATCGAATAAGCAAAAGTCAGGAGGCGATGGATACTTTTAAGTCTATTACTTCTAAAAACACACAATTTACCTGTGACAGAGTATCATTCAGAACTAGTGGGACAGACATTAGACAGTCCGACTAGAAGTTCACAACAAGCATGAACATAAACAACACCTCGCTTCTACACCGGCTTGACATTTAATGTCCCGCCATCTGCGCACGACGGATTGAAAAAATGCATTAACCATTTCTCTTACTTACAGAAAATCCTGTCGATTGCCAGAACAGTTCTGCTTTTTTGCTTCTATTTTTCAATGCTCTATATTTTATTAGGTTCTTCTATGGTCGCCATTAAATTCGAGATCACGTGACCATAATTCACCAACCAAATGATTGAATAATACCCACCCAAAAATAGATTGCGTGTTATTGAAAAAATGTGTAAAAATAGGAATTTGGCCTACATTCCGTTTGGCTAGGTAAAGGTCGTTGACAGGTAATAGATGGGCGGATCGAATGAAATACTCATAAATTAATGTAGAATTTTAAGCACAATTTGCCAAATGTCACTTAAACAAATTTAAAAAAAGAAATATTTCTCTTACTTTGAATAAAATATTAATGAATCCAATATGTCTCACAGCATGCACAGTGGCGGATCCAAGGGGTGGGAGGTTACGGGGTAGTACCCCCCTTGGATTTGGTAAAAAGAGAGAGAAAGAAGAGAGTCCCAATTTTTTATTGTATTACTACAGAAAATGTTTAGTGAAAGGCTAATGTAGTAATGTGTGAAGAAGTTCGGTTGTGAAAACAATTAAAATGGCTCCCTACCCCCCCCCCCCTTTAAGATTTTCGGGTTAGGAGATTTATTTTCCTTTCTTTGTGAAAAACGTTCAGGTTATCCATTATTTTCCACAGGCTTACTCTATGGCCTCCGACTTTGGAGACCCAAATTACTATGTGTCAGATAAAAAGTATAATATATAGGAGGTGCACAATAGCATTACGTACTAAAGAATCTGTGAAAACTTGTACATTTGTATAATTAAATTTTATTCAGTGGTATAGGAGGAGTTGCGGATAAAAGATGGGTATCCTTCAATACAATGTATTATAAAAAGAATGACAGTATCAATGTTTTACTATGAGAAAGCCGAAATATGTGTCCGATCAAAAATTAAGTAATAAGCAAAGAATTGCCCCCCCACCCCCGCTTTCATTGTCTTTGTGGGTGAGGTGTCATTAACAAAGATTCTAGCTGTGAAAGTCTCAATGATTAATTATTGACTATACTAACAGAGCTAGTCATGGTAACTTAAAAGGAACAATTTTTTCACGAATCGAGTGTTGGTCATTTCTCAATCAAATAAAAGATAATCCCGAATCTTTGATTACAGGGGCATAAAAAATTCAACTTCTTTATACCTGTATTTCACATTAATTTTAAGCAAGGACTTATGTGTTAAACTATTATAATGATAGTCATACAGTGTGTACATATGTGATTGATTGATCACAATTAGCTTCTGTTTTTTTTATGCCCCGTAATTGAAGATTCGGGGATATATAGTTTTTGCCCTGTCCGTCCGTCTGTCTGTCTGTGTGTCTGTTTGTCGGCAAAATCTTTAACCTTGCTCATAACTTTTGATTCGGTGGGGCTTTGATTTCATATTTCACAGGTGTATTCCTTGTAAAAAAAAAAAAGTTCTTAGGGTACCACCAAATTTGACCTTGACCTTGGAGTTTGACCCACTTTTACCAAAAAAATTACACTTAAATCTTGGTCATAACTTGTGACTTTTAAACAGCTGATTTTAAGACGCTAGGGCTTTCATACTTCACATGTGTCATTCTGGCAAGACCTTTCAGTGGTTATAGATATTTTTGACCTTTAGACCTTGACCTTAGAGTTTGAACCACTTCAAACTTTAAACTTGTCCATAACTTTTGAACAGTTGAACTAGGGCTTTCATATTTCCCAGGTGTTCCTTGTAACAAGACATTCGTTTAATTAACAACAATTTGTCCTTTTGACCTTGACCTTTGGAGTCTGACACGCATTTTGAGAAAACCGGGGTATAAGTGTTTGACAAACGCGCCTAGTTAACTTCTTTTTCAGGGAGGACTCTATTTATAGGAATTTAATTTTGGAAACGTCCACCAGCCTCCTTGCCTTTGTGGACGAGTAATTTATGAGCGATGGTATCGATCTGTCTTTAAACTGTTACATACATGTATATAGACTAATACAGTTTCCCGGGCGACAGTTGAATGCTCTGGCGTTTTCATAAGCCCAATAACAAATTAATGCTGTAGTCAATGAACAATATTGACAATAGACAATATACATGGTGTCTGTTAAGAATCTTCTTCTAAAGGACAACTGGACCCCCCCCCCCCCAAAAAAAAAAAAAAAAAGAGACATGTGAAACTTTTTTGCATAGCGTATATTCATATTTGTTCAAGTCAAGACCACTGCAGGGGTTTAATTTTTGTGTTGAATTGTGAATGTTGTCTTTTACAGAATAGATTGTAAAATATGAAGTGCCATTCAATTTCATAAATCTTTTGTGCATTTTGAAACTGTTGTATACATGTATAATTGTATAAAAACATATGTGCACGAAGCACAGGAACACCGTGATTTTATAATCATTTATTGCAAATTGACCAATAAAATCGCTTTGCATAAAAGTGGGGAGACTAAGTCTGTATAAGAAAGTGCCGTGCACGTCTACAAGTTTGACAAATTTCTCTCCAAAAATATAATTTGCATATATCCCTTGTTTTACTCTGTTTTGATAAATTGTCGATCTTTATATAAGAGCATTTTTTTTTAATTGAAGAGAAAAGTCTCAAGAACATTATAACAACAAATATTCAGACTGATAATCAAGCTTCATAATCTAGGTTGATTCAAATTAATTCAAATGGCTCAAAGTCTGTTGGGGAGGGGCGCATGCAGCTGGGGTTTCAACGTTTTTAGAATGGGGAATTATCTATCGTTTGCAAGAATAATTATATTAACCATTCCTCACGATAAATTAAAGTCCAGGCTTTTTTATATCATTGACATCTGCTTTTTCAATAAAAATGGAATTCGTAAATTTACTTACCTGGTCATTGGTCATTTGCAAAATTATTTTGTTTATAAATTAATAAATTTTGCAAATAAACTCCGAAACGGCTGCACTAGAGTTCTTGCTTACTCTTCTAGGAATACACTAGGTATAAGACGAGATTTCACTTGCATAGTAATTATCGTAAATTTAATTAAAAGTTTACTTTCATTTCGGTAAACAACCTCAAAATAGCACGAAAGAGAGTACGGTGGCGTTTCCACTTGGCGGATCTAAGATATTTGAATTGTTTAATGAAACTGACAACAAGCAAGAGTTTAATTATTTCATGAAACGTCATAAATAAATAAGTCAATCAAAACTTGATTAAAGTGATATTAAAGAAATAAGCCGCGATTGATTATTAAAAAACAAAATGTGCAAATCCTTTCCCTTTATGTCCGATTTCACTCTTTATTGAAAGTTCTAGAACGTCTAGTCAGGTCTCCTGTCTCATCCTTGTCAAGGCAGGAGTGACGCGGAGTATAAGAATAAGAAGCATAACAGGGACAGGGAAACAGACTATAGAACGTCAGACACTGCAGCTTCTCGAGCCTTTCCGACTAGGGGAAAAACAACCTCGAATGAACTACGCAGACGCCATGACACCCCCCCTTTTCACAAACTTTGAAATAAATGTTGGAGGACCTCTTATCTGTGGAGTATGGAGTTTAACTTTATTAATTGTAATGCTGCTACTTAAAATATACTAATCATAGGCGTCGGATCCGGGGGACTTTTTTTCCAAACATATAGACTTAGTATATATAGTCTTTAAACATTGCAGTGTAGGTTTGCCCCCCCCCCCCACTTTCCACAGATACGATGCAGTGTAGGTAAAAAATAAGGAAAGTGGTGGTGTTTGGTAAAAAAAAATTGGTTCTGAAAGAAGTCCGAACCCCCCCCCCCCCCCCCCACGAAATAGGATTTTCATGTTTGGGCAATGGACATACCCCCCCTTTTTTTGCTTGTCAGTTTATTTTGCAATTTTGAAGGTTTAAAAAAAATTTCTTACACTTAGCCCCCCCCCCCCTCACTTTAATTTGCTTCCGACGCCAATGCTAATAGAAGTATCCTATATACGAATAAACAGGAAGATGTATAAATTATGTTAATACACATTCAAGGTTGTTTTTCCGACCACTGACGGAAAGATCCGAGATGATGCGATTGAAATGTCAGATAGTATCGAACCAGATTTAAAAAGAAAATCATAGAGATCATTATGAATGGGCATGGAAATAAGTAACACAATGAGTTCATATATCTATATATTGAAAGTAAATGACAATAAAATTTACAAATTAATGTCGATTAATGACTATGCTTACTGGTATTATGGAACGCCATCACTGCCTTATAGCATAAAACTATGCATTCATTATGTCAATCTATCATTACGTTATGTGAACATATCTTTACGTTATGTAAATTTTTTATGGGGTGATGTAAAAATATCTTTACATCATGTCAATGCTGCATTACATGAAATAAACACATTCTTCCATTATGTCGGCACTTTATAACTTGGAGACCAAAGTTCATTATGTGAAGTGAAAATATGTTTACATTGTGTTAAAACTTTATTACGTGAAATGAATGTTTCTTTATATTATTTCATTTCTTTAATATGTGAGGTCAAAATTGCATTACGTCAAGTTAATTTCGTTTTACATGTGTTCTATAATTAAATTTATCATTACATTAAGTCAAAGTTCATTCCCTATTGTGAGTGTATATTTCTATTATAACAAAGCATTATTACATGATGTTAATATATCTTTATTTTACGCCGAGGTCATCACAATGTGAGGTGAGTACATCTTACCCCTATGTCAGTGCTTTATTACGTGATGTAAAAAGGGTTTAACATAATGTGAACATATATTATGGAGACAGTCCCGGCGTTCCATATTATATCAACACTTTATTACATTATGTCAAAACTACATTCCTTTATGTGGACATTTACTAAGAATATGTTAACTCTTTCTTATGTGATTTAAAACTATCTTTAAATTGTGTTCATTCTTTATTATGTTGATTACAAATGTTCATTACGTGCTGTAAAATACATTTACATTATGTCAAAGTTGATAACCGTGTTTTCACGACTGGGAAGGAAGGGGGGGGGGGTCCTGATAATTAGGACGAATTACAGACATATTACAGAGGGGGGGGGGGGGGGGCTGACTTCCTCTTATTTCCGACATAACTTTATCGTAGAAAATGGTCATTGAAATTCAGCCCCACTTTTTGC